GGTGGACATCCCTGAGGAATTCTAGACTGCTAGAGGACACAGGCGGGGCTGAGGGGCTCCCCTCTCCCCCAGTGCACGAATGTCATGCACCAGGCCTCATATATATATATATATATATATATATATATATATATATATATATATATATAATTTGAAGATCTTCTCAATTCCAATATATATATATTGGAATTGAGAAGAACTTCAAATGATTGAAAAGTGAGCTTTACTCTGGAAGAACTGACACTATATTTAGGATGAGTTCTGTTAGGAATACAAAATGCTCTGGAAACACTAACATATGGGATGGAAACACTCTAAACATGTGGAATGAGTTATTACTTAGCAGGTGAGAGGGGATAAGGTTAGGAAATAAATAAATTACCTACAGCACTTTTTCAGAGAAAGAACAGAATTAAAATATATAGTATAGTGGCTTTTAGTATATGTCCAGAGTCACATGATCATCATCAGAATCTAGTTTTAGAATATTTTCATTATCCCAAAAAGAAACCCTTTACCCATGACCAGTGACTCAGCCATCTCCCCTCCTAACTCCTAGACCTAAGTAACCACTAATCCACTTTTTGTTTCTATACACTTAATTAACTATTTCCACATTTTATAATGGCATTTATTTCTGTTTTTTTTCCACTTAGCACAATGTTGTCAAGATTCATCATGTTGTAGCATGTATCAGTATTTCATTTTTACTTCTGAATAAGATTTCAGTATATGCATATACAACATTTTATTCACCCATTCACCAATTGATGGATATTTAGGTTATACCCACATTTTGGCTATTATGAATAACATTGCTGTGAACATTCATGTACAAGTTTTTATGTGGACTTATACTTTCAGTACTCTTGGGAATACCCTAGGATTGGAATGGCTGGGTCATATAGTAATTCTATGTTTAACATTTTAAGGATTACCACACTGTTTTTCAAAGTGGCTGTACCGTTTCATTATTCCACCCGCAGCATATGAGGGTTCCAACTTCTTCACATCCTTGCTACTACTTGTTATGATCTGAAAACAGAACTGTTTTGAATGAAAATATAAAGTCATTAAAATAGGAAAAATTCCAATTAGATGATGTTATTCTCACTTGAGACAGCCCATATGTCACGTGATATCAGAACCTACAGCTGAATGCCACTTTGTAGCTCTGTATATAAAACAACTCTGTTGGAGTCTAATTATCTTATCATTAATGTTCACCAGGTGCTTAGGAAATGCTGTTTTTTTCATGTCTAATTGAGAGGTAAAGGATGGTGAAGTGATTGTATATGTAATGCTGTTGAAAGTTAAGCCCATTTATGACATGCAATTAAATGTAATGGAAATAGAACAAATTGATTTGCAAAATTAAATTTGCAAATAGGGTATGCACAGATACCATTAAATGTATGCTGTCCTCTCGGACATTTGGCTATTGAGTTGGCATTGGTGCTCCGGCCCCACATTTTTCCTTACCTGGCATGGTTCCCACCTGCCCACTAATACACTTAATGAACTGTTCTACTTCTATACCTTGGCCTATCAATGGAGTTCATGAGACAGTTCCTGACAACAGCCTGTGGAGAGCAGATTGTTTTATGAAGTGCTGGAGTTTAATGTGGTCAGGAAGGAAAATTGGATTCTCCAGTGATGTGCAGCTTTCTCAGACTCAGATTTGTTTTTCACAAATCCAGGCGACCTGACAATTACAGTATAAAATGGAAGATGCAAGTCTGACAGTCACTCCTCCATCCCTTGTCTAGCTTGTCAGTGGCTTCCCAGCGCCCACTTCTCAAACTCGGCTGTCGCTGCTCTGTCTGTAGTAAATATTTGTCATTTCCTGAATGCTCACTGTCACACTCTCTTATTCTGCTGATGTCTAGGTTCCTCTGTTGGGAGTACAGATAGAGGCATCACCTTCACCAGGAAGCATTTCAGAGCCATCTACGCTCTGTTAGGTCCCAAGCCATCGATTTGGGTGCCTTTTCCACCTCGGTGGATAAAAACAGGAAAGGTCCTTGGCCTTGTGGAGATTATATTTTATCTGAAAAAAGACAGAAAACAAACAATAAGCATAACTAAATACCTGCCTTGCAGAGTACAAGATGATAGGTATAGGAAATACACCAATGGCGCAGCATAGTGATGGGGATGGGACAGGTTGTGGAAAGGTGGAATGCTCCATTAAATGAGCGGGGGTGGGCGTGGGGGAAGAGCTTGCTGAGAAGGCCTCATGGGATGAGGGATCTGCCCTGTACATATCTTGGGAAGGGCTTCCCAGGCAGAGCACACTGCCAGCGAATGAAATGACCCACGGTGAGAGCATCTGAATGAAATTGATAAAATTCCAGCCATCAAGGAAGTTGACCAGTTTTCCCCAATATCTCTTCTGTAGACAAATACATTTTTCCATTTGGATTTTTTGGAATTCTAAAAGAGTCTGGAGACAAATCTCCTTTGCCACCTCCCCTCCTTACACTCCTACCCAGTACACACTTTGAGGACCAGTGCCAATCTGGAGCGCCCAGTCAGAACTTCTGTATGCCTCACTGTGTGAGTCACATCTTCTTTCTCTACCTTAAGATCCAGATTCATCCTCTGTGGAATATATGCCCCATAATCGCTTCCTCGCACCGATCTTGCTTTTGTTTTTCTTCTCTGAGTAACATTCCTTTATGTTCTGGCTTCTCTTAGCTTTCTACTTCCATCCATATCACCACCCAGTTGGTGTTTCCTGGGTTTTCATTTATGCTTAGTCTCTAAATACTGTCCATGAACCCTCCACCCTATTTGGTAAACCAGAGTGAGGAGTTCTTCTTCAAGCAGCTTGTGTTCAGTGGGTACATTCCTGGTCCTACCCTTTCAAAAAGAAGGAATCTAGCGAAGCCTTTGAACACCATTTAAAAGCCTTTGAACACGTTAAAAACCACATGTAATGGTTAGGACTGGGCTTGGGAGATAAATCTCGTGGCCGCTAAAATTTTGAGAGACACTTCTGCCACATTTCTGTTTTTCATTGCTTTCTTTTAGGCAGTATGTTTTCTCATGTCCTCATTTTATATTTCTAGTTGATTTTGGGAGCAAACACTAGGGGCATTTTCATTCATCTGGAATTTCTTGCTCTAATAGTAATCTATGTTAAAGGAATAATTGATTCAAGACCTGTAAATGAGTGTGTGTGTGTGTGTGTGTGTGTGTGTGTGTGTAGATAGACAGACAAATCGATATGTATATATTTATTTCTAGATCACAAGTATATCTTCTTCTTCTTCTTCTTCTTCTTCTTCTTCTTCTTCTTCTTCTTCTTCTTCTTCTTCTTCTCCTCCTCCTCCTCCTCCTCCTCCTCCTCCTCCTCCTCCTCCTCCTCCTCCTTCTTCTTCTTTATATCAGAAATTTTAACTCTCTGAAGATCATCTTGTTTTCCTGGAGTGTCACTCCATGGGACTTTCCCGCAACCTGCACTTCTTAACTAGAGAAGGTGGAGGTTTTGTTGCTTTTCCCCCAACATAGTTATTTCATGCTCATTGATGATAATTGATCTGGAATTAATTGCCTAGTGCTTGCTTCATGGTCAGTCTTTGCTTATATAAATAATAGGAAGGACACATGTTACCTATGGACTTTAGAAAAAGTTTTATTTCATCTTATACCCTGTACATTATTACTGTGTCTAAATTGTGAGTTGCTGTTCACTTTTATTCTTTTAGTTTACATTTTAAATCCAAGTCATAATTGTACATAGTTTAAAAGTCAAAAATACTGACAATACTTATCACAGAAAAACAGCATCTGTCACTTCAGCTTGGCCTCCCCTCCGCTGCTCTGCTTAGCCCTCCCCCCCTGTGATGGTCTTTTTTACTTCGTTACCAGTGTTTTCCGGTGTTTCACTCAGTTTTTCACATCAGATGAATATGCTGGCATCTTTAGATTTTTCCTTTTTATTTGCTTTGGAAAATGAGGACTTAAATGCCTAGAAATACCTCATTGTCCCAACATAGTATGTCAAATGCTATGTTGTGGTCAGAAGGAAAGACTGCCTTGATTCTAAAATACTATTAGAGTGTAATGTTTTAGAAAGTGAAAAAACAAATTTTCATAAGGTGTTGACAAGGAACTTCATTTAAAGCAAAGTATCAGAGCCAGAGGGTGTTTATGTGCGCAATTTAAGAGGATAACAATACTAACAATAATTTTGACTTAGCTATAGTATTAAAATAGCACATAAGAAAATCTTCATTTGTTCTTATCTGGCGATAGCCATGAGCTGAGTTTTATTGTTTTTAAATTTTAGTCAATTAGAGTTTTAGTCACTATGCATTTTATAGGAGCAGGGTGAAAGTTGAACCCTACCTAAAAGAATAAAAGTACTGAAGACAGACTTTTCTGAGAATCATAGAGTTGCATGAAAAACTTCATGGGGAAAAACTGTAATTGCCTCAGCATGAGAAATGGAATATATTTTAAGATAATTGGAGACTGTCTTTTATGTGTTCTCTCTGGTTTAGTTTTGATTTCATGTACTTTAATTTGTTTCAGTCTCTTAATTTGGTTCTTAATATATCCTAAAGACTGTAAACACTTCTAAGAATCTCATTACTACTTTTGAAATTGCCTTCTTCCATACCACTGGGTATAATATTTTGTCAGTCTTATTAGAAAAAAGTGTTTTAGAACAGGCTATTATATTTTAACAATATGACCTAAAAGTACATTTTGTGTAAGTTCAGTACGCTATTGCAATTCTTTGTAAATTGTTTTTGTTTTTTTGTGGTTGGTTTTTATTTTTTTTAAGTTCTACAAGAATCATCTTTTTGTTTTTATTCATGTGTAATCATTCATATGTGTAAAATTGATATTTTTCACTTCTAACTTTGCTTAAATACTGGTAAGTAGTCATTCCCATTACAAGTGTGGTGAGAAGTTTAATTTAAGATGTTCCATTACTTGCTGAACACTTTAGTTTACAAATTCAACTTTTGCTTCTCTTTTCAAAGGCACTGAGACGTGAGTTAAAGGAGAAGGAATATTCTGTCCTAATAGCAATAGACAAAGCCCGAGTTTTCCTGGCTGATCAGCCAATTGAGGCCCCCGTGGAACCAAGAAGAAATCTACAATCAAAAACAGGTGAGATTGGCTTCCTTAGTACACCATAAAAACACATGCGAGGAGAACAAATAACCAAAATCACGTAGGAAATGGCCCTCCAGTATTTTAGGGTTTGGCATTATTTCAGGATTGGACATTTCATTTCTTTTCTTCTGGAAATAACTGAATCAAATTTTATTATTTAACAAATGTCTACCTTCTTAAATTAAAAGATAAAATGACTGTATATCTCAATATTATTTTTTCAAAAGAAAATTAACTTAAGAAAATTTTATTTATTAAAAAGCACATTGGAACTAAAAGTAATTTCTTTAAGAAATAAAAATGGACATGTCTTAAATAAAAATGCACATGTCTTATATTTCAACAAATCACATAGTAAATAATTGCTAATAGAAAATGGTATTTAAGTACAATAGTACATGTATGAAATATTTAAAAACTATAGATTGTTATAAATTTGTATTTTTCAAGATTACTTTTTAAAATAAGGCATTCAAGTGCCTTTCTGTTACAAGCATGACAGACTTTATTTAATTTAAAAATAACAACCTGTACTCTTTATGCACTGTGGTTTAAAACGGAAATAGTAACTACCTTACCAGCACATAGGCATAAATCGCATACATTTTGGCGCCAGCATATGTCCTTATTATGATATTTCAGTGTTGGCAATCAAAGCATTTTGATGCTTTTAAAATAAACACTCCATTCAAAATAGTTCTCACTCACTCACCTCACATAGTAAAAGCAGACCTGAACACGGCCTCCTGCTGTGTCCTGCAGTGGGATTCAAGAGCATTTTCACTTGTGAGGGAAGTACATTTGGAAAAGACTCCCTTTAAATGTGGCTGGAACTGGACCAGACATTTGGACAGGTTGCCGTTTTCCCACTCAGCCTTTCTCAGGGAAGTTCTGCTTCAATCTGAATAAATTTCCCAAAGCCATGATTTCCTCAGCCCTTTGATATCTAGTTTTATATGTGTGTCTGTGGGACATGCGCGCAGCAGCGCACTTACTTTCTTTTCTAGAATTAGCTTTTATTTTCTGCTGTATTAACACTGTCTTCCCAGTTAGCCTACTGGAGACCCAAGTCATTGTTGAGTCTCCACCCTTTGACAGCTCCACAGTCTCAGCCTTGTTATTTCTATCTTTGAAGAATTATTTCCTCCGAGTACCCAGTTACATATGAATCATACACACACGTACCATATACATGTGAGTGCATGCAAATACAGACATGTACATAACAGATGCTTACTGCATAGCTGCTGCATGAATGGATGCCTGAGCTGAGCGCTCTTGGGTATGGTAGGAAGTGATTAGGCTCAGGCAGAGGGATGACCATGCGGGGCAGGACCAGCAGAAGCAGCAGCCAGGGCTGTGCATCCAGGAAGTCAGTCAGCCTAGCCTGGGGGCCAAGGGCTGGTTCTCTTTCTCTTCCTTTCTTTCTCTCTCTTCTTCTTTCTGTAAAATCAATAAAATATATCCTCAGGTAAGGATAAAAATATAAATAAGTAATAATTAAATGTCCATAACTTTTTGCATTTCCCTTTACTGTTGCTTTTTCCTTAATGAAATAACAGGTTGCCTAATAGAATGACATACCAATTTATGTATTTCCTGGCACCAAGGGAAAAGGCATTTAGACAATATTAGACTTTGTCTTTTTAATTTTCACATAAAAACTTGGAAGATTAATTGCTTTCCGGCCTATAGACAAGCACAATAATTTAATTAGCTCCTTAAGTCCAAATTAGATTAGTAAAGTTGTCACGTGTGAAAAAGCACAGAAAAATATAATGTTGCTCTCTTTCCCAGTGTTCTTAACTACAAAGCAGCAATGTGTTTCTTCCCAATTTAAAGTTCTAGAATGCATATATGGATAAATGTAATGAACCTATATTTTACTGTAATATAAGGAGCCAGCTCAGTAAACCCATTGATTGGGTAAAAATCTCAAAATGTTTGGGCCTGCTAATGAATACCATTGTAATGAAATCGGATTTAAAGAAAGAAATCAACATTCTTGATGAAAAATGATATGATAACCAAGATTGGTTTGATGGCTGCAATATTTTATATTAATTGTTCACATCTGTTATGTTCTGTGGTCATTGTTACAACCATCCATAAATCACATTTGTCTAATAAAAAGATGGTAATAATTTACATGTATGTATTGCATTGCTATCAGCATCTGGGATGTTCTTTTCAGATTTAAACATAAAGAATAGGGGGATACTAATCTCTTTTAATGTTGTGGTGTGTTTATTTTGTTGTTCCTCTTAGAATGTTGAATCTTCAAGAGTGACTTGGAGGGTTATTTTGGCAGTTTATAAATATGAGCCATAACCTAAATTCTTTTGTAATAATAGCTAAGCTTGGCAAGAATGGGAAGCTCAGGACTTCTTTTGTAGCTTGAGCAATGGGCTGGTATGTCCCACAGGGAAGCAGCCTGGGGAGAGATGGGCAGCAATGCAGCAAGAAATGGAAGACTGTTAATCTAAGACTCCTGCCCTTTGGCTCTTGAAGGAAAAAGGGTAAATTTTTTTTAAGTCAATAATATTGTACGGAGCTTTGTACATTTATTCAACAAGTACTTAGGTATGCCTACCAGGTGCCAGGTGATATTCTAGATAGATCCTGAGGATGTAGCAGTGAACAAAACATCCTTGCCCTCCGGGAACTTACCCTTCCAGCTTCTCTTTTTCCCTTTCAGCATCACTCTCCTGCCCCCCCATGACCTGCCCCTCTTTGTCCAGCAGATTCCTGAGTTGAATAAATTATAAAACTACCGTTAGAGTGAGGATATTCAGGGAATACTCAGTTACTGAAAATTGAAAGCTGGATCTTAGGTTACTTAACAAGGTCTTTTTCAGGGCCTCTCAGTAATTCTTGCTCCTTTCTTTAGAGGTTAATCTTTTCTTTTTTTAAATATATATTTTATTGATTTTTTTACAGAGATGAAGGGAGAGGGATAGAGAGTTAGAAACATCGGTGAGAGAGAAACATGGATCAGCTGCCTCCTGCACACCCCCTACTGGGGATGTGCCCTCAGCCAAGGTACATGCCCTTGACCGGAATTGAACCTGGGACCCTTCAGTCCACAGGCCAATGCTCTATCCACTGAGCCAAACCTGTCAGGGCGAGGTTAATCTTCTTAATAGTCTGTTCTTTCTTCCTCAGCTTCATGCTGGGTTTGTGTACTTTTCCCTTTTAACAGGAACAGTATAACTTGTAAGTATTTGGCCTCTCTTTCTACCTTCATTAACTTCTGGTCAGAACTGCTGTTGATCTCACTCCATAGTGTGATCTGTATTCCTATTTCCTCTCCACCCCCAGACAACCCCTCTCCCCCAAATTAATACCTTGCATTTTGATATTGTGGAAAATGTTCTTTTCTTTGGAGTTTGCTTTTTCCTAAATGCATCTGTTCATATTCACACAACCCCTTCTCCCCGCCCCCCCCACATACACACACACAGGATTTGAGAAGTCCCTTGGCAGCTGGATGGATCCATATCATTTCTATCATATCCCTGCTGAAAGAGTTGGGCTACACATTAGCAGGTTAATGTACTTTGACTAGTCTCTTACTATTGTCATCTTTATAATTTATTAGATGAATGTAATTAGAATCATGAAAGTAATCAACTAATGGTACTTGATGATGTACTTGTAATCAGGTTGATAAAGAATTGTTGTCATTTGTCACCATACATAATAGGCAGTGGGCAGGATCCTCTTAAACACTGATTATTTCAAATAAATTAGGTTGATCTTAATCATGTAATCAGAAGAAATTTTAAAAAGAATTTATTTCCCATTTTTTTAATCAGAAGCATCTTTTGGTCTTGGAGAAAAAGAAGGAAAGAGGAGCAGGGAGAAATAGAGGGGAGTGAGGAAAGAGAGAGTGAGAGAGAACAAGTCAAGTTGAGTGCCTAGAGAAATGGGGCTGCATTGTTTTTGCCCTTGAATTATTGTTTGCTAATTAACTTGGTTTGCTATGTGAAAATCTCTATAGATGTCTAAACTTCCCAGATTTAATAATATAATAATAAAATGAATGAAATCAATGAACTCTTTTGAGGCCCTATTGTGGGCAGGCATGTGCCAAAAGCTTTATACTTATAGATATTAACTGAGATTCAAAGAGATAAGGGGCCTATCTAAGATGAAATAACTAGCTAGTATTGGAACTAACATATGATGTTCTAATCTCTTCTTGTCCAAATTGTTCAGCAGTGAAAAGCTATTCTGGAGAATTATTTTTCTATATGTGTTTTTCTATATTTGTTTTCCTTAATATTTTCTTTTCATCTTATGGTGAAATACAACTGTATGAACATAATGCATGTAAAAAGATACATGCAAATAGTACAAACAAGATAGTTGAAATTACCATACTTGAAATACTTTTTAAAACATTCTCTCTCATAGTATAACATATAAAAAATGCTTTACTTGGGTATGAGGAGAAGAAAAAATAAATAGGAAAGGTTTTACTTAAAATTATGAAGTTATGCATTCTCAATAAAGATTAAAGCTAAAAATTCCATTCAACTGAACTCAATTTATTAATTATATATTTAGGACAACCAATGTCTAGACTGAGACCTGCAAAACCAAGATAGAAGGAAATGAAAGATGAATGACATAAAGCTTTAATATCTATAGAATAAAAAGTCACAATGGAGATAATAGTTGGCAGTGCCATAATTGACAAAGAAAATACAATTAATATGGGACATCTTTATTGCAAACACAGGACTGGCTCTAATAGATTACTATCATTAGTTCATAAGAGTATGAAAGCTATAGTTAAGGAGAGCTAGCTGAGTTTGTCTCCCTAGGAAGCTGGATGACCTCGAGTTCATTTTATGGTGATTTGTAATATTTGTGAGGTGCAGAGGAAGTTGCTAATGTGACTGACACAAAAAGGTAGTGTTATCACAACGAAGATTGTGCATTTATATCTTAAAGTAATTTACTGTTTGACTTGATTGTATGTTTCTGACCTGCTTCTCTGTTTCCAGTGGTCAAACAGGAAACCTGTCAGACCAGCTGGCTAGGGAAGAAGGCATCCTTGGGTATTGATGCAGTGAGGCCCAGCGGGGTTTGGCTGGTGATCTATGTAACCTGATTTGAGAGTGTCTGCTTATGTGCATCCAATTCCTCTGCCCTTTTGTTGTCAGCTTCTCATGTCTTTGTTTCTGACCCTGGGCTTTGAACTTGACTTTCGTTTCTGTCATTACCTTTTCCTAGTCTTCTAGACTCTCTGTTTTTTTTGCCCCTGTCTTTTGGCAGAACTTTGCATTATGCCTTCCTTTTCCTGTCTGAAAATCTAACTTTACCTCAGACATTCTGGAAGCCCTCTGGTCTATGAAATGTTTGGGATTGTCCTTGAAATCATACATCTTTCTCCTGAGACGTTGGTTATGTGCCACACTAATCCTGGACTACAGAAAACATCCTGTATTAAAGATGAATGCCAAACAAACTCAGCTAATATACTTATCTTCAGTTACTTTTTGTTGTTGTTGTTGTTGTTTGGAACATGATAAATTCATCTTCTTTTTGCATAGTTTTTCCTCATAACTTAAAGCTATTTCTCTCCTAATTATACTCCCAATTTCTCTCTAGGACAATGAAATGAAAAACTGTATTTGGTTTTTATATAGCATGTGAAATTCATGTGAAAGAAAAATTATTTTTTAACTTGTGACATTTCAAGGTTTGCAAATATAGTAAAATTTAGAAGTTGCCAAAATCACTGGCCCACTTATTATTCTGTAGCTACTTTCTTCTTTTGAGATGCATCAGGGCATTCTTAGAAGAGGTATAGAGACACTCTTCCTTCCCCTGCTTGGTGTAACTCTGCCTCCCTGTACCCTGGAAGCAACATTTCAAACGATGCTCTTCACACTTGGCTATAAGGAATACAAAGTTGATTCAGCTTCTAAATATATATTATTTTTTAAATCACAGAATTGACTCCTGAGGAGACAGCCCAAAAGATTGCAAAAATGCGCAAACAGTCTTCGGAACTTAAAGAAAAGTGGGAGCGTCTAAATGCTCTAACTATTAACTGGCAAAAGCAAGTGGACAAGGCGTTGGAGAAACTCCGAGACCTGCAGGGAGCCATGGATGACCTGGATACGGACATGAAGAAGGCAGAGGCTGTGAGGAATGCCTGGAAGCCCGTGGGCGACTTACTCAATGACTCGCCACAGGATCACATTGATAAAACCATGGTCAGCATCACTGCATCAGATAAGGGATTTAAAGAGAAGTTTTGTGGCTAAATATGAACAAGTACATTGAGGCAAATATACAACCTGTTATAAGGGATTGTCTTTGTTTTGTTTTGTTTCTTGTTTAAGTTTTATATACAGTAGTACATATATCTTTTTTTTTCTCATTGACCTTCCCCCAGCTTCTCCTACTTATAAGGGATTGTTATAAGGTCAGTGCCATTACAGCCTCTGCCAAAATCGGGATATAGAAGATTTTCAGTCACAACAGATGCTTTCCTCTGCCCCTTGTCATCAGAATCCTCCCTCAAAATAGCAACTCTGACTTTTTCCTCCATAATTTACCTTATTTTTAACAAAATATTTTTTTTATTCAACTGTGCATCCCTAAACATTTGCTTAGTTTTTAAGAAATATTTTAAAGTCCCCTTTAATCTCTAATATTCCCCCTCCATCTTTTTGCAATGCAACTGTTAAGGCAGCTGAACTGTTTGTTTTATAGTGTTTCTCACAGCTTGGAATTTGCAGAATGTCATCCACATGGTGTAATCTGGCAGATTCCTCTCTACTCTGTATTTGCTGTAAATTGGCATTGAATTTAAGTTTCAATCGAAAGTATCCTGTTTTACTGGTAATTCTTATCTACATATTTTATCACATTGTATATACATGATAGATATACTATATATTGTGTATATATATATATAGCATATCTATACTATATAATATACTCAACTAAACATTTGAGTATATCAATGAAAGATTCGTTTAGGTATGAATTCTGTTTGTGGTCAGGAATTGCCCAAAGTTACGGTATTAGACCTATCTTTTGGGCCCTCTTTGATACAGTATTCTAGAACATACTCAGAAATAAAGTTGATGGGATTTAATCAGTTAGAGACACAAATAACAGATTTAGAGTATAGTGTGGTTTGTAATAGCATTCTAAACTATATACTGTCTAGTTAGAAATCAAATCAAAGAATGAACTAGTGACAAATCAGAAGTTGTTAATTGATAATATCTATCATGAATAGGATTTTTATGGCAAAAGACATCCCTCTTTTGTGCACAGATATTGAATAATGCTTTCCCTTTGTTTGTAAACATGTGGCTGAATAGGAAGAGAAGAAAAGTCTAGGTAATTAACTGAATGGTTAGATAAATTAATATATATATGTTGTGGGGGATGGGGATAATAGTGTTTATGTGCCTAAAACTTTCTCAGCAGTTTACATGGCTACCTCTTTTAATCATCACAGTAATCCCACAAGATAGGTGTTATTTTTATGCCCATTTTACAAAGGATGGATTTGAAGATATTGCTCAAGCCTGCATGGCTAGTAAGTGGTAGAGTTTTCATGATGTTTCTTGCTCTTCACTTTCATTGTAGAGACCTCATTCATAATAACATAATTAAACACTATTTTGATCACCTATTTAAATTCAAAGCTTTAAAAGTTACATATTAAAATTTAAGCTTAAAAATATTATTACTAAAAAAGTATTGGTTCCTGCCATCTTTCATTTTAAATATACATACCTTTCCAGCCACCCAATGAGTTAAGAGAGTTTCTTCCTACAACTGTAGTATCTTAAAAACCATGTCCATGGGTAGATCTGAGTTTCAAATAACCAAGTGAAAATAAAGCTCCTTTGGAAGTTGCATACTTCTTATATTTTATTTTTTATTAATCCTCACTCAAGGATATTTTTAAAAATAATTTTTAAAGAGACTGGAAGGAAGGGGAGAGACAGAGAGAGAAATATTGATGTGGGAGACATATCAATAGGGTTTTTTTTTGCCCTTGACTGGAATCAACCCTGGGAACCTTCAGTCCATTGGCTGATCCTCTAACTACTGAGCCAAACCAGCTGGGGCTACATCTTATATATTAAAAGTGGTTTTATACACTGAAGATCTTCAAGTCAGTGGTTTACAAAACCATGCTCGTTTGGACTGCATAATGTCTTTTGGTTAGAGCAAGAATTTATCCATTTGAATTTGTAAGTATCTGTGTGTGTGTGTGTTTTTTTTTGTGTGTGTGTGTTTTAAATGGGTAGTATTTTTTTTTGTTGTTAATATATTTTATTGATTTTACAGAGAGGAATTGAGAGAGATAGAGAGTTGGAAACATTGATGAGAGAGATATATCGACCAGCTGCCTCTTGCACACCCCCTACTGGGGATGTGCCAGCAACAAAGGTATGTGCCCTTGAACTCGGGACCTTTCAGTCCATAGACCGATGCTCTATCCATTGAGCCAAACCGGTATCTGCTGTAAGCATCCGTTTTCAATATAGAATGATTAGTGTTGGATGACAATAAACAGTTGTATCAGGTTATTAAAGGCCAAAAAGATTTGGAGTTGTTAATCCCATTTGATTAGAGAAATTATCCAGCGCTGCATCCAAATCCTTATGTTCAAATCTCTGCTTATGTGGAAAGCTAGGAAAGTTACAATTAATATTAAAAGAAAGGAATAAACGGTGGATTAATATATTTTTACATCTTACTAGGGAAAAAATAAAATAAAAACCCAAGTCTTACAGTTGAGGCATTTTACATGTGTTCTCACATATACCCCAAATTCCATCGAAGCTACAGGCAGATGAAAACAAGTACTGATTATTGCTAAATGTTATTCAATATGCCAAAGCAAGTGGGAAACTAAGTCTTTGGGGTAATCAAATACTTTCAACTCCTTAAAATTACCTTGTCTTTCTTGTTTGCATAATCACACCTGATTGGAGACCAGTCTGGGATTCACATCTGCCAACAGGCTGCCAGGCAGGGCATTTAATACCTGCAGATGTTTCTGTTTTTACGGCCAGAAGACCACATAGATTTTTATCCTCCTATAGGAAAGTGCAGCCAGAACATGATAAATTGCTTCTTTATAATAGAACACATGGCAGAGCTGAGATCATTTTAAAACTTGCTTTATTTCTAGCCCCTTAATTTGGAAGCTTCTACAAACCGAACTATTAATATATACTTCTTTAAGAGATTTCTTATTGCCATAAAACACCTGACCACCTCAACAGAAACAAAACCTACAGACCTTGTTTGTCATAGGTCTTTTCATGTTTTTTACCTGTGGCTTGTAAGAGAAAAACACTTTTATCATTTTGGAAGATTTTAAAATCTGGGGTAATGTTAGAATCTAATTTTAAAATTTTATCTTCTGAAAGGCATCTTTTTGAAGGTCATTTAAAATGTTATAAATCAGAATGTTTTCTAGCATTTTATTTTTAATCTTTCATATCTATCAATATATGTTGGTGTTTTACAGAGATATTGATTTTAAAAGCAGATTAAAATTCTTCAGTCCTCCAAGAAGAGAATACTAATGTGTAATATTAAAATCACAACTGAAGAAAGCTTGCAGGGTTTGAGTTCTGTAGGTACTCTGAAAATGAATCTGAGGGACACCAGGTTTCTTCCAAGTCCAGGCTGAAAAATTCTCTTTCCCCATCCTAACTGCCACTTCTCTCTGTCCCGTGGGTCTGTCTCAGTGATTCATTCCTTAGGCCTATGTTGTTAACAAAATCCCTTTGTTGCCTATAACTGCTTTCCTCGCTGGGCTGTGCCAGTATGTGTGTGCCTTGTCTGACATCAGCCATGGAGAAAAGCTGTCACAACTCTGGGTTCTTTCTTTTTCCGTTTTGCAGCAGTTCACATATCTTCGTGGGCTTGCCTTCTTCAACCGATTTTGAAATGTTGAGTTCTGGCGATGTCTCTTACCTTTGCAGGTTCATTGTTTCAAATGTATGGCCTGCTCCCTCCACCATCTGTATTTTTCACTCCGACTCTGGCCACAGATCTGTCCCTGCTGAGTCCCCACCTTAGCTTCTTTAGGTGCTTTTGGGCATATTCAAAATTTTGAAACACTGAAGCATATTCTCTGATTTGTGTAGAATTAATTTCTTTAAAAAAAGTTATGTTCTTAATATTATTCTGATGTTTATCAATCATAATGATTATTGTTAGCCTTATGTGCATTATATAAGGAAGAGTTCTGTAGGGTAACTAGAAAAGTTTTGGAGAAGAGAAGGAATGAGGGAAATAGTTAAAGGGGCTTTCTTTTTATACTCATAAGGAGGAAGCCAAATTAATACTTGTAGTGTTTTAATAAAATGTTATAGTCCCCAAAGCACTTTAATATACATATTACTTCATTCAACTTGGAGCGATGAAAGAGGAGAAGAAAAGGCATATGTCTAGTCTCTTGAGAGTGGGGATTAGAACCTGAGGTCTGATGCCAGTAGGATATTCACAACACCTAATACCCATAAGTTAAATTTAGTACATGATTAACTCTAATCTTACGATGTACCAAAACAATAAAAGTACACAGTTCTATTTTTAGAATCCATTCTGTTCCCAACCCCTTATTGGCTTAATCTTGCTTAAAAAATAATTGTTGGGGTCTGTGTCAATAGAAAGGAAGTCTGCCCCTCTTGTATTACAAACCTTGTGCTGAATTTTGCCAGGTGCCTATCTCAAGAAGCTTCCATTCTACGGGGGGAGAAGGGGCAGAGGAAGCATTAGGAAAATGGATGCTTATACTTTTATGTACTAAGCTCTGATGAGGAAAGATATTTAAAATACATAACAATTGGATGGTATGGCATCAAACAATCAGAGTGGCCTCCATTATAAAACCCAGTTTGTGGTTCAGACAGGTGCTAGTTGAATGTCCTGGCTGGGTTGAAAAGGCAGAGAGAATCCTGGGAAATCCCTGGGAGGGGCCTGAAGGAAATCTTTTCAGATATGGTGTGCATGTGAGCACTTGAGTGGAGTCTTAAAGGATCTAGGCAGATAGTTGGAAAGGGAGAACTTGAGCATAGAGGCAGGTGAAATTATGTGAAGAATGGAAAAAAGGTAGGGTTTCTATTCTGCTTGGTCTCATAGGACAGATGACTGTCATGGTCCTAAGTATTATTATTTTTTCTTTCTCTCTCACATACCCTCCTCATCCCAACCCATACCACCTCCATACTGTGCCCGAGGTGGCATTTGTCAGTTCTAAGCTTCATTTCCCTCCTTTCCTGTAGACTCCACTCTTCCTACCTCACATCTAATCTCAATGATCGCAAATGCTTTTGAATGAGACAACCTTACCTCTCTTGTACATATAGGCATCAGTTTTGTGGTTAATGAAGATGGTTTTACTGGCCACTTTTAAACTTAATTTTCAGTGAAAACTTGTTAAAATCAAGTTGCATCCGTGAAAAAAATATTAAGGTAGCCATCTGGAGAAAGAAAAGAGAAGGAAATATGGAAGAAATTTAAAGATAAAATCAAGACTAGAAATTAGTAAAGTAGATTATAGTGGCAGATATTTTCTAGACTAAATCATGAAAATTTATCATGAAAAATTTGAAGGAAATACATAATCACTTTAATGTATTTGCATTATAATCTTTCTTATCATGTCATGTCTCAGTTTGTCTGTGATATAAAGGCAGACTCTTTTGCTGGTGGTCTTGATTGCTGAAGACCAGATTTGAATTGTCTATTAAACAACAGTCATTGGCCTCTCAGCTGATCTTGCCATTGGAAAGTTCAAAATACATACCACCTTCCGTTATTTTCTTTTCTGATGTCCTCCTTATTGTCCTTTTCTTCCAGGCATTTAGAGAAGAAATTGCACCAATCAACCTAAAAGTTAAAACAGTGAATGATTTATGGAGTCAGCTGTCTCTGAAGATGTCTCCCCAGCTAGATGACCTTAATGTGCGATGGGAACTTTTGCAGGTATCATCAGCTTATTCCTCTTCATAATTCAGGCTTAAACCTTGGTGGACCTTTAAACCATACCTCACTAGTCTGCCACACACCATCATTTTTTTATTTTATTTTATTGGTGTGTTTGATAATGGATTCATAATATGTGACCTCAGTTGTCTTTCAGTATCTTGAACTCAAAAGCCTCATTTATTTATGAGAATAAGTTTTAATGTAATTTTTGGTGTACTGTTCATATGATATTTGTAGGAAATTGCAAAAGGTCAAATAAATCACAGTAATTGAAACATATGGTAGGTCACAGAAACATTTTTCCCATAATGGCTTATAAAGGAGTCATTTTTCTTAATTTAATCGTGTATTTTTTGCTTCTTTTGAAAAGTTATGAAAGTCTCCATCTTTCTTTCTGCAACTGCTTGTTCTTTAGGTGTCTTGCACAATTTTTGCAGCCAGCACCTTGATACTATTGTGGTGTTTAACGTTAGCTCAGAGATCTTAGCTGCTGCAATGCAGTTATTTTAATGACTCTATATATTCTATATATTATTTGCTTGTCCCAGATTTAACCCTGAAGAACTAACCCAAACCTGAAAGAACCCTCTCTATTACTGGGTACCAGCATTTGCCAGCACTGCCCTTTGAACCATCTTTGTGGAGCTTTGACACATTCAGGGACCAGTTCTCAAGACTCATAATAAATTTTTTTTGGAAACTAGCAGAATCATTTGAGTGGGAGATAAAAAAAATGATTTTTACTAATTTCTCTATTTTCTGGTCCTAAATTGTGATATTTAATAATGCAAGTGTACTGTTGAGGTGGCACACAGAAACATTTGAAGGCATAATGGGTTTCTGAATTAACTCAAACATTAAAACACACAATGGGTTTATATTTTCTTCCTGAAATTGAAGTGGTACGAAATGAGTTGTATGGTATTAGACAGTCCTTTTTGTCTTTGAAAGAGTATTAATAATCTGGGATTAGTAAGGCAGAATACTAAACTCAATGCAAATGTGCTTTTCTAATAAGTGGAAGACAGAAATGTTTGACCAATATTCCTTTTTCTTCTTTTTCATTTCTCTAATGCATCATTTTAATGTAGGTATTCCTGTGGTCCATCTTGATTTCCTTCTCATTCTGCTTCTTTTATCACCATCGGAAAAGATTAGAAGTCAGGGAATATGCTTAAAACAGGATATGTGTTCTGCCTTCTTTATTTCTGAGCCTGGTGGCTGCTAGAACTCAGATGCTAGTTGCTGGTTGAATAAGTGGGGGAAATCTATGCTGCCAGACAATACTGTTAAATTTCAGAAGTAGCATACTGTTTTCTCCTCCTGAATGTAAAGTGTATCATAGGAATACTTTTTGGCATTAACAAAAAAAAGTACTTGCTCTTGCAACTTAAATAGCCAACCATGAGAAACTAAAACTGCCCAGTGAGGTTGGCAGACTAAATGGAACAGCTTACCAGCACTACAGAAGCAAAGACCAGGAAAAGAGACATGGAAATGTCAGTAACAGATGTGTGCATTTGTTATTGATTGGCAATAGTTTCTTTGCATTTTCATAATGTAGAGAGTTAATCATACAATCTGTGTAAACAAATGCACAGATAAACAGTTTGTTGATGCATGAATGCCCCCAAATCAAGATGACTGGACACAAACTTGGAGGAAAATAAGATATTCCACAATCATCTGTTTTATCTGTCTGTCTATCCATCCATCATCTATCTGTCTGTCTATCTATCAATCATCTATCATCTAATTCAGCCATATTTCTGTTTTTCTATCTATGTTATCCCTTGGAATATTTTAGATCTTCATTTGCTCCCCATAGCACTTTTTGTCACCTTTCTTACAAAAGAGAGATGAATAGCCACTGACCTTGTGGCCACATCTTCTCTTAAGATGTTTTTGACCTTCACGGCTCTCCAGGCAATGTAGAGTGACAGCAAAGGCATGGATCCTGGCACCTGATGTGCTGGTTATGGATATTAGCAAGATGCATACTAACTTTATGTCCTGGGCACTTCTGTATGTCTCAGTGTCTTCATCTGTGAGATGGTGATCATGATAAATAATGCCAATTATGTTGATTATGAGGATAAGAGAGTTCATTCCTAGAAATTGCTTAGAAGAGTGCCTGGAACTATTTGCTGTTACTTGGTACCAAAAAGAGTCTGCTTTCATCCCAGCACTTTGATTTTAGAGATGGAGGAGGAATCTGTACAAGCAGTCATATCATGGGCAGTAACAGCCTTTATAATAATGCTTAAACCCGGAACATTATTTAAGTTATTGCTTTGAAATCAAATTATTTTTGGGGTGTGATATGCAGGTTTCTGTGGACGATCGCCTTAAGCAGCTTCAAGAAGCCCATAGAGATTTTGGACCATCATCTCAGCATTTTCTCTCCAGTAAGTACTGATAAACTTGACAGAAATTCATGAAATGAATGAATCAGCATGCATTTTCAGCATGCAAGAAGCCATATTCTTTGCTATAAATAGGTTTACTTATATGAGATAAATATATTATTTATTGGTTCTTATTTAAGAACAATTGTTAACAATTGATAAATCTTTGAAGTGGAGCCAAGGTAACTTGTCTTTAGCTGTGGCATTCCAATGAACCATCATCCTATATAATAAAAGGCTAATATGCCAATTGACTGAATGGCAGAACGACTGGTGATCCCTATGATGCACACTGACCATCAAGGAACAGACGCTCAATGCAGGAGCTGCCTCCTGATGGTCAGTGCATTCCCACAGGGGGAGCACCACTCAGCCAGAAGCCAGGCTCAAAGCTGGTGAGCACAGCAGCTGTGGCTGGAGCCTCTACCACCTCCATGGCAGTGCTAAGGATGTCTGACAGCCAGCATTTGGACATCCCCTGAGGACTCCCAGAGTGCCAGAGGGCACAGACTGGGTTGAGGGCACGCCCCCCCCCCCCCCACTACTAGTCTATTATAACTACCATATTATATTATCATTGTTGTCACATGCAAAAGTTATGAACTTTTTCACAATAAAGAAATACTTTTTGTATTTTAAGATTTTAAATTAATTTTTCTCTTTCAAAAGCATTATTAGTTTAAAATGCACCTGTGCCTTTCAAAGTAAAACTTCATTCCCCATGAATCTTTAAATGAGAAGATTTTGAGTTGTTTGGCTCACTGCAATTTCGAGTTGTTAGGCTCATCTTAGATAGGTCATCTTTGAGTGATCTATAGCACCTCCTGGAAGATAATGTCTACTGGCATGGCAGGATGCATTTCTAAAGTTTGGATACCATCAATGTTGATGAGATAAATAAGTTTGCAATCTACTCATTTGGTATGAATTACTGCAGATTTCTTAAACTTAATTTTATAGAATATAAAGCTATGTGCTAAGACCAAATTAAAGAGAATTTAACAAGGAACTGAGACTCTATTTACACTTCTGTTATAAGGATTAGTCATCAATTAGTACTGATGAAACTTTTTACTTAGTAACTATTCTTTCGTAATAAAAATCAAAGTCATATTTCTTAGGAAATAAAACATTGTAAACATTGTGAATCTCAAGTGCATTGCCTTCATTTGTCTAGCATTGACAGTCTAAGGAGGTGAGAATTATTCAAATTAAAACAATTATGAAAATGAATTGAGAAGTGTATACACAATCCCAATGAATAAATTTAACAATTGTTATCCCTGCTGCTTGGAATTTTTGGCTTTCTTATATGTCTTGGACATTAGCCCTGGTTATAAAAGGGAGCCTGTTTAGTTAGGCACAAAATAGAAACCGACCTATTAGCCTGGTGCCAACACTGAAATGAGGTTGGCTCTAATGAGAAGTTTAATATGCCTTATTTCACATTTTCAACCCTTTCTTAAGACTTTTGTGGACATAGTTAGAGAAGGGAGTCCTCCCATCTTATAAAGAGTAGAAGAATTGTTGAATAGAAAGATTGCCGAACTAGTGGTCAGAAGTCCTGAGATCAAGTTAGAGCTCAGCCATTTAGTTAAGCAAGTTATTTAATCTCTTAAATGTTTAGTTCCTCATTTATCAAATGGAGCTTTAATATCTATCTTATCAACAAATATATTCACAAACGTGTTACAGAGTTGAGAATGCTATTTATTTTTGAGATAGTAATATGACACGAAATTCAGAAAAGAATATTGGTTAAAACTAGTTGTATGAGAGTCTGATGATTGTTACAAAGTTTTATTTTTTAAATTTATTAGTTTGTTTAGCAAAATTTCTCTAGATTCACATGTACAATTCTTAAATAAGTCTTAAAATCATTGGTTTACTGTGGGAATAATATAAGGAGTAACTGGAATTGTAAAAAAAAAAAAAAAAAAAAAAACCTCAGTGAAAAAGTCTCACAAAGTCTGCATCATAGTGATGTCAAGTAAAAAAATGTAGGAAACTACATTTTCTGTGCATTTAAAATGCAAATACATATTTGGGGTTCTTCTATTAACTGCTTTGGTTTTTTACAACCTTTTACCTATGTTTATTTTAATTTTTCTTTTAAAAAATTCATATATTTGGGTTTGTTTAAATGCCAATTGTTCTTAATAGTTATTCCTGTGACTATAAAATAAAGCAAAGAATGTTACTAGTGATTTGGAAATTCCAGTCTTGAGGAATTTAGTTTATAATCCAAATATAATCTCTCTCTCTATATAGAGAGAGATTATATCTGGATTATATATATATATGTTTTACATATATGTTTCCAAGAGTACTAAGTTTTACACTGTGTTGACTATGAACAATAAAACTTGATTTTGAAAAGTAATTTTATCAACAAGTTCAATTACTTCGAGGTGGCATTAGAAATTGTACCTCTGTTGTTCTTTTATTGCTTCAAATGAATTTTTAAAGTGACTGTTTTTTTAGCCTTGGAGATTTTATAATTATAGTAATCCAGCTGGCAAACCAGAGCATTTTTCATTGAATTTGCTGTAAAATGTGTTCAGTTGCTTTGCATTAAGTCATAAGGCTGTGGGGTTAGCAGTGTTTCCAATAATCCCCTTTGTTTCCTCAGCTTCAGTCCAGCTGCCGTGGCAAAGATCAATTTCCAATAATAAAGTGCCCTATTACATCAAGTAAGTTGATTTTAAGTCTCCTTTACAAACCAAAAAAATAAAGTGATATTGATTACTTAATTGGCTTTTTTTATACAACTTTTTAAAAAAGTAAAACTTAGTTCTATTATCATATATCTATATATTTATAGAGATAATATGTATTTTATATTTGAACAAAATTAGTTTGAAAATCAGAGTAACAATTGTAATTTACTAAGTTAAGGCTATAACTGTGTTTAGTTAATATTTTTTGAGCAGGTATTAAAATATTTGGGGGAAATGACAGAATTTCTATAATACTTTTGACATTATGATACTGCTCAAACTGTGCTAATTCTAAATCATCTTTTATTTGCCCCAGAAAATACAATTCAAAAGTTCTTGTGTTCTTCTCATTGTAATCCACCAAAAGGAACATCATTGTTTAAATCATGAAAAATGTCAGTATTTGCAAGTTTTTGTTTGATTTATGGAAATTAGCTGCAATATTGGTCTAGGTTTATCATCCTTCATTTTTGTTGTCTACTTGGCAGTTTCTCCTTTTTAAGTTCTAAGTTTCTCCTTAATGAGTAACAGTAATAAATTTGTATAACTTACACAGGGTCTGCTTAGAGTTTTATCCTTGGGTTAGTTTATATGTTGTCATAGGACAGAATAATAAAATATAACTTCTGCAATCCCTTGAGGTGTGAATTGGCAAAGTTATTGATTTATAACGTGATAAGGTGATGAAGAGTCATTGTTGACTATTTCATGTGCAAGGTGAATGGCGTCATAATTGTGTGGGGGAAATTATGAGTTATTCTATCAGGAGACAGAGCTGTCTCAGATTAGCTTAGTGGCCTCAAGCAAGACAGTGAAGGTCTCTGAGCCAAGTTTTCTCTATATCCTTTCTAACACAGCATGTGGTATCTCCAGAATCCACACCAACACTAATAATTTACTTTTCCAGAAGCCCTCTTCCTCAAAAATTTATGTGTGAAGTCACTGTTTTTGGAAGAGTATTTCCTTATCAAGCTTTTATTGTGTTTGAGATGTAGCCTCAGGGTAAAAAAGATAAATAATTTTGCAGTAACATATAATAGGTATAATAAGCAATATGTGTTACATTGTCTTAAGGGGATTTAATACTTTTATCAATGTACAATTTATAGTGTACTGAGTTGTGATAAACTCATGGATGAAGTACCAAATTTATGCAAACATGAATGGGAAGAAATCAGTGGCTGAGCACATTGATATATCTATTGAGCTAAAATGTGATAGTCTGTTGATTATTTACATATTTTTATTTTAAATTTTTAAATATTAGATAATTTTAATTTATTGGATGAATATTGAATATCACAGGTTTAGGCAAAAATCTGATGTGCCATTATAGGCAGAATAATGGCCTCACAAAATGACCCACACCTTGGGTGTGACTACACTAGGTTACATGAAGATGGAGGCAGGGCACATGGGCCAGGGAATACAGGAGCTGGAAACGGCAAGGGAAGGTGATTCTCTACTAGGACTTCCAGAGAGAAACACAGACCAGGCAATCTTGATTTCAGTCACAGAGATATTAGTATTGTGATAATTTGTCCCAGCAGCAATAAAGTACATGTACTGTACAAAATCTAGATGTTCATGCAAATGAATTGAAATTAACTGACCAAATTAATCTAGAAGCCTGTGTCATCTTGATCTTTTAAAATATGTACATTGGATCTAGTAAAGCAGAATTTTATTTATGTACTAGAGAAAGACAGTATTAAGTCTCATGCTTGATTATATACTACAGTGGTTATCTATTTGACTTGGCACTTTAAAAATCCATTATGAAATTTAGCACTATAATTGAAAGGGGTTTCTGTATGTTCAGGTTGGTATATGTGACTAAGAATTACATTGTCTAAGTCAGAATTTCACTAATTCAGAATTTTGATAGCTTTGGTAGGACCTAGCGGGATCATATCTTCACTTAGACTATGTGTGCTTTATGGGGAAGACCAGTAGAGTAAAAACTAGTTTATCTGGCATACCATATGCTGAAGCCAGTTTTGTTAAAGATGACCTGTAACTTTGTAGCATCCTAAACTATCTTCCACATCATTAGTGACAGATTGGATTTTCTGAAATGTGTATAATTTTAGAGTTAATTGTCTTTTATGGTTTTCAAATATTTAGGAATCTGTCCATGTATATAGAATGAATTGTCTTATTTTTAGAAAGATTGTTCAACCAGATTCTTGCATTACGTGCTCTGTTGTATAAATTACCAGCTTATTTCCTCATAAAGAGGGAACGTCAGTCTCAAGAGGTAGTGAGCATTATATGAGCCAGCATTTCCAGATGAAGAATTGTTATGAAAACAAATTTAATTCCCAAACAAATTAATAAGCAAGTAAATGATGAATGAGAAAGCTTTTAATATATACCTTCCTTTGCATGGCTGCACAACTATCAATAAATAGAAGAAAATTTGAAAAAACAAATTTAGCATAAATTTTATGCAATTAGGATTTCCTGGAGCATATTAGAATGCATTAATTTGACCAAAAAGAAAATAATATTCAGGTCGAATTGCTAGATATTTTCAGTATTTAGGTATGCTGTTTTATATAGTCTCATGTCAGACTATACCAAGAAAGTTGAAAGGAAAAATGGGAAAGACAAATTATTTTTTTATTTCACATTTTAGTGTTAATAGATTAGTTAAAACATACTTTGATGGCTTCCAAATACATTTCTTTTTTTCTAGGTAGTTCTTTATTACTGCAAGGTGTATTGCATTAATTCTGGGAATAATTTGTTTCTAGAAAATGAAAGATAGGAGTAAATATAATATAAACCCTCTATATTAATATATTAAGTTGAAATGCATAACTTTAATTTATATTTGCTGCCTCTAAGGTAGACTTTCCAAAACTGATCTGGTTATGTTTCTTTTTTATATCAATAGTATAGTGCAGTAGCAGTTAATTGTCATCAGTTTAGGAAACTTTGAAATGCCTCTGACTGCTTTCACAATATACAGAAATCTACCAGAAAAAAACAGATACTTCTTTGTGAATTGTTAGTCACGTGTTTTGCAAAGTTGTTCATTTCTTCAATTAAAAGTCAACATCCAGGGCCTTTTGGGTACAAAGGGAATGGTGAATAAAAGCTTTGGGTTGAATTTTCCTAATATGTCATATTAATCATGTAAAACTCATTGCTTCTCATTTTATTCCAGAATAAATATAATAAGTATAATAAAAGTCCTGGTGGATGATAATAACTATCAGTGTAATAAATTGGTTTCAGATATCCATTTGCCAGTTGCCATGCTAGCCCTGGGCATGGATTATCTCTTCTAAGCCTCACGGTGGCCCAGTGAAGTGCAGGTACTGTCGTGGCGCCCACTTCCAGGCCAGGCTGAGATAGAGTGCAGGCACACATAACCTGGGTGAGATCACACAGCCAGTAAATGGAAGAGCTTGCATTCAAACCCAGGGACTGACTCCAGCTCCTGAATTCCTGACCACTGTTGTCTCCATTCCTAACTTTATTAAGGCAGAGAATAGAAATTTTTAGTCACATGGGAAATTTAGTAGAATGAAGTACATTTCTGAAGGAGCAGTCAGGTGAGGAAAATATGAGTAAACATTCCTTTTTCTGCACCACAGACTGGTTAACATTTATTAGAAACTACTGTGTGCTAGCATTAGGCACCAGAGCTGTCCAAGGACAAGGTCCATGTTACTCCCGTACACCACACTGCCTTTTCTGTAGACTTCTTAGAGGCTAATTTCTGTCAGCTAATGTATGTTTAAAGAAATTTCACCCTGTGGCCTGGACAAAGGTCCTTTTTCTATCGATGGGAAGGTGTCATCCTCCACAATCTGGCTTGTCAGATCTTGACAGTTCTGAGTTGGGGAGACAATCTATAGCCCTTCATTCACCTTTCCTCATTGTCATGGTCAGGACATTTCTACCCTTCTCAGTGAAGCTGGCTCATAGCTTCCCTGGGGCTTCAAGAGACTGTACACTGGCCAGCTGTGG